GCGAGGTTTGCTGACATGCGAGTATCACGAATTCTTGCACAACTTGGTGGCGCCATATGCAGCCTACCCGGAAACCGAGTGCCGGCGGTATAGCTGCTGAAAGTAAAAGCACATCCGTCGCGTGGGCATATAGATTCTCTTGATAGCGAATACGAAACCCAGACTCGCGGTCAACGAGGTATACCGTGGCCATTTCATATCAGATGACGGCTGGGGTACCAAAGTCTTTTGCACAAGCGAGTCCCTGTGGGTTTGAGCCGTTTCCTCGCATAGATTTTGGCCAGCCCAGTGGATGTAGATATGAAAGCGAGATGAGTCGAGCGTATTTGCCTGGGGTGCAGAACTCAGAATAGAAACGCCGGGCCTGGATGCTGGGTATAGACAGTCCACGAAGCTGACCGAGAAACAAACAAGCTCATCCGGATATTGTCTTTCATCTATAGATCCTGTATGTAATGCAGCAACGGAACGTGTGCGGAAGCGAAGACTGAAAATAGTTTCCCTGCCTGGAACGAGCGGCATAGTACTGCGAGGGTATCGTGGACGTCCAATTCAAAAGATCTGGAGATGTGAGGAGTTCTTGGCGCGTAGATTAACCTTATATTAAAGCTTGTCGCTCCATCGGTGCTCGAGGCCCTGCCTTGATCAATTTTAGCGAACGCGATTTGCTGCCCTTGCAGATGTGAGGTCTAGAGATGCATCTAAAAATAATCTTAGAAGAGTTAGCCAAGTGCATGCATCAAGCAGCTGTTCGACGCACGTGGTGACTCGGAGCGACGCCACGACCAAGGATGCATCGTATGAGCCTAGATTCAACTACTGCCGGTTCAGCAACGCGGGTTGTAGCCGGTGCAAGGCTTTCAGGCGAAATAGATTGAGAATTGATTACGCGCATCGTGTCGGGGTGATTCGACCAAAGCTGTCAGCCGGACCTGACTTGGAGGGTAGGACTATGGGACTGTCAGTCGAGTGCGAAAACAGCAAGCTGACTGTGTATGCTTGATACACGACATTCGTAAAGCTGTACGTGCAACTATGAGCTGAGAGGGCGTCCGGTACTACAAGAGAGGGAACGAAGAGACCTCTCCATGACACTAACGCGAGTGTAATAGAATCCACGTCCCGGTCCCGCCGCTTATACGTCCCGTTTCACTCCAGCCTACTGCGCAGTGTTTTTCCGAGAGCGCAGGATGGGTCCGCTGGGACATAGCCGAAATTTCCAAGAGCATGTCCTTCGAATAGGCAACGCTACGGCCATGGATCAAGTAGCAAAGAAGCAGGACATCATGCAAAGAGCAGTGCTGGAGGATTCGAGCCTGTGTTGATGCCGAAAGGCTACAGACATCGGCCGCGACTTGTCCGGGTAAAGACACGTAGCGGGCGGGCAGAACGGCGGCACGCGAATCTCGTCAGATACAGCAATGCTTCGACGCGTCAAAGAAAGCGCGCACTGCTGCTGAGGAGATTTGCAGAGTGTCAGAATGTGTGATCGAGCAGAGACACGGGTTGGGCGTTCCTACCGTCGCGAAGGAGCGACCCCGCCGCCACCCATGTGGCTGAAGCGTGGCCGTGGACCCTTCGATTTGTCACGCCAAATGATGGCATCATCGCCGCGGTCCATTTCCCTTTTCCCAATCGAAGCGGCGAACTTGCGATACATAATAACTCACCAGCAGAGTAAACTTCTCCCTCTTATCACACACTTCACTACCACCAAACTGAAGCTCCTCACGCTCTTCCTTTTGGTCGTCACGTCTTACTTGTCCATGTCCTTTCTGACTAAATTCTTTCGCCCCTTCAGCAGTATGTCGAATGCGCCCGCGCAACCCATGAACGTGCCTTCGGGCGCACAAACCGCCACCGTCGCTGCCGGATGTTTCTGGGGAGTCGAGCACATGTACCGGAGAGAGTACAAGGGAAAGGGCTTGTACGATGCGAGGGTTGGATATATCGGTGGTGACACAGACAACCCAGGGTACAGGGCGGTATGCAGCGGACGCACTGGACGTACGTATTCCTCGCTTTTGTTGCGCCACGAGGCGTGACGTGATCTCTGGCTATTAGCTGACTAGTAACCCAGACGCCGAAGCCCTGCAAGTCGTCTACGACCCCGAAAAAGTAACCTACCGTTCCCTCCTCGAATTCTTCTACAAGATGCACGATCCCACCACCTCCAACCGCCAAGGTCCCGACGTTGGCAGCCAATACCGATCCGCCATCTTTTACCACGATGCCGAGCAGGAGAAGATTGCGCGAGACGTTACCGACAAGGTGAACAAGCAGTGGTGGAAGGGAAGCGTCGCAACAGAGATTCTTCCTGCAGGGAAATGGTGGGATGCGGAACAGTACCACCAATTGTACTTGGACCACAACCCGGGCGGCTACGAGTGCCCGAGCCACTTCTTGAGGAGTTTCCCGCCGCTTTCTGACTAAGTTGGGATAAAATATAATACTACCCATGCGGAATATCTAGAATGACATGTCTCACGGCGAAAAACACCTCGTTCCATTTGTGACAATATGCATGAAGGCCTTGCTGGCAGTGGTGAGATAATCGTGCATTTATGCTACCGACTATGTCTGTCTATGAAGGTGGCATGACCTCGAATGTTTGCGCAACCTCCTTCTCCCACGACAAGCGGTCCTTGCCAAAGATCTCCGCACCAGGCTTGAAGTTCTTGACGCCTTCGTCCAACAATCCTGTCCTTAGGACAATGCTATCAGGGCCAAGGGCCTCTTGCTCGTGGTACACGTGTGAAGTGCAGTTCTTGCAGTAGAACTACAAAGACATATTAGTGCATGCTCTCTAATCCCATGGGTAGCCCAGGGGATGACATACGCAGTGAACGCTCTTTCCAGAGTCACCCTTGTATGTGTATTTGCCTAGATCATCTCCCTTGGTGATCTTGAGTGCCTTCTTGGGGATGATCTGATTGAGCGTGTACGTGGAGCCGGAGAGCTCTTTGCAAGTGTTGCAGTGGCTAATCGATTGTTAGCTTGATCTTGCAACGAATTGTTGTTATAGGAACAGAATGACAATACTCACCACAGGATGTGTGCCTGCTGATCTTGCTGCAGGGTGGCAGTCCACTCTGTCTGCTTGCAATGGCAATGTCCCTTGAAGTCCGTCATGATGATCTGATTGGTCTCTCTAGTTATCCGTATTGAGTTTAGATGTCAAAGTATGTAAGGGAGAATGGACAACAAGGTATTCGAGAAGCGGTAGACATTTATATAAAGCCTACCTTGGACCCAGCGCTCGTTGCTTAATTGGAATCCCCGCCCCTCCACCCATTTAGCGTGATCCCTCCCTCATGCGGTCTGGAAATGCCAGCGTATCGGCAGCTGTGTTCTGCATCCCGATGCGGGTATTTGTCAAAGAGTTGTTGCATTAGCGGCTCCATGGTACATGATATCAGGGATGACGTTCTATGCGCCCACGGTTCATCAGTCGGGAGTTGACGCGTCGACGTGTCCCGGCTCTTGACTTCTGGATCTATACAAGTCCGGCAACTAGGCCTTGGGCCATACTATGCGGCTCAGGATTGTCTTCCCAAGATAGGAAGAGTGATGGTCCGGAAGCAGTGGTCGCTTGGGGCTGCATGAGGGGTAGCATGGACTCGCGTTGCGATCAACAACGTGAGCCGCAATGACGTAAGCGGGGCAGCTACCTACTCTGACACTGGCTGGAGACTGCATCCGATGAAATTATGTAGAAAATGACGTAGTCAGATTCGGTTGGAATTTGAGTTCTGATGGTGATGGCGAAGGGCTTAGCGGGCTGTGGATGGAAGGAAAGAGCCTCCCTTGACAATTCCCAGGCTGGCGCGATCAGGCGCGTAAGTTTCGCGCTTGAGCGACCGGAGCGCTGTCTCATCGCTTGTACCCATGCACAACATGCTTTCAGATTCTGCGTCGCAATCAGCTATTCTTCTGCGATACAATGCCCTGGCTTTTTTCTTAGGTTAGCTGTGCAGGTCGGATGCAGCACGGCCAACCTCCTCGACAATACATCCTTACTAACCTTCTCGCAACGGAAGGAACGACGAGGTTCAATTTCGACCAAGCGCGAAGGACATCTGTATACACCTAAATCACTTCGACTACACTGAGGATCAGTTGAAGTCGTCTCGGAATAGCAACATGACTCCAGCTCCCATCTTTTCATCGCGCGAGACTATCGCAAAACCGCCAATGCTCAACCATACTTTCTGATGCGAATTTAGACTGCTTTTCCATCCCAAGTTCATGACCAACGAATGCGCCCAGGGTTGAGAAGCTTACTGCGTCTAGCTCGTAGCTTATTTCCCCGCATTCCAGCGAAGATCCAGGAGATCGTATACCTCATCTATTCCCGGACCGGAAAACCATATGGGCGGCTCGGCGTAACGTATGCCGAGCGCTTTATAGTACACGAAATGTTGTCGCGAATCTTTCAAAAATATGTAATAGGAAGACGCGACTTGCTGTAGCTTGAGAACGACTTGGGTCTGTACAATCATGCGCTGGCTTACACTTTTAGGGACCGTTGTTGCGTTGGCGACACTACCTTTGGATGCTCTGGCTGCGACCTGTTGGCGGGACACGGAATGCAGCGGGCCTAGTGAAGCCGCATTCAAAGGTACCTATTCCATCAAACTCGTACCCCCTTTTGCACTACTAATAGACCAGGGCCTTGGAACTCTAACATCTACGCTCCGTCATCGCGAACAGTCCGTCCAAGATCAGTTTTTACCATCCGAGACCGTCATCCAGCAAGCTATCCACGTCTCGTCGTCCTCCGCGGCAACGGGACGAATGTCATTTTCGATTTCGGTATTGAAGTCGGTGGCATCGCTTCTATCTCATACACAAGCAATGGAACTGGCACTATCGGCCTCGCGTTTTCCGAAGCATCGACATGGGTAGGTGAATGGTCTGATGCATCGAACGGGAAGTTTGCTGGCCGCGATGGTGCGTTATATGTCAATATCAGCACTGCCGGCCCAGGAACGTACAAGATGCCTGATGAGGTGATGCGAGGAGGCTTTCGGTATATGACGGCTTTCCTTGTCACGGAAAGCGGTACCTACGTCAACGTCACGGACGTGCAGCTTGAGATAAGCTTCCAGCCTACGTGGTCAAACCTGGAGGCTTATCAAGGGTTTTTCGATTCCAACGATGAACTGCTGAACAGAATTTGGTATGCAGGCGCATATACGCTCCAAACTAACGCCGTACCCACCAACACGGGACGTTGGGTGCCCATGCTCGCGAACGGGTGGGCCAACAACGGCACTCTGGGTCCAGGCGACACCATAATCGTTGATGGAGCGAAACGAGACCGTGCCGTATGGCCAGGCGACATGGGCATTGCTGTTCCCTCTACCTTTGTCAGTACCGGGGATCTCGCCAGCGTTAAGAACGCACTGCAAGTCATGTTCGACTACCAGAATCCGGATGGTTCATTCCCCGAAGCTGGCCCACCGCTTTTACAGCAAAACAGCGATACGTATCATATGTGGACAATGATCGGTACCTATAACTACATGCTATACACGGACGACGCAGCCTTTGTGCAGAGGAACTGGGCCAAGTACCAGAAAGCTATGGAGTACATATACGCCAAAGTCCAAGTCGACACATCTGGTCTCCTCAACCAAACCGGCACCAGGGACTGGGCGCGCTGGCAAACTGGATTCAACAATACGGAAGCAAATGTCATTCTATACCACACTCTGCAAACCGGTGCCGAACTCGCTACATGGCTCAACGAGAGCAGTTCCAGCAACTTAGCAGCAACTTGGACGTCGCGCGCCACAGCGCTTCAAACAGCCATCCTCACTCACTGTTTCGACTCCACCTACGGCGCCTTCCGCGACAACGCCACCTTGACGACCCTCCACCCCCAAGACGCAAACAGCATGGCCATCCTCTTCGACCTCATCCCACCCTCCTCCCAAATCGCCCAAGACATCTCCACAGCACTCACAAAAAACTGGACGCCCATCGGCGCCGAAGCTCCCGAACTCCCCGGCAACATATCCCCCTTCATTTCCAGCTTCGAAATCCAAGCCCACTTCACCGTCACCAACCCGACAGGAACAACCCGTGCCCTCGAACTCATACGCCGAAGCTGGGGCTGGTATGCAAATCACCGCAACGGTACTGGCTCGACGGTTATAGAGGGGTATAGAACGAATGGGACGTTTGGGTATAGACAGGAGAGGGGGTATGGATATGATCCGAGTTATGTGAGTCATGCTCATGGGTGGAGTTCGGGGCCTACGTCGGCGCTGACGGAGTTTGTGGTTGGATTGAGGGTCACGGAGCCGGCGGGGAGGAAGTGGGTTGTTGAGCCTAGGTTTGGGGATTTGACGAGGGCGCAGGCGGGCTTTGTGACGGGGCTGGGGAAGTTTAGGGTGGGCTGGGAGAAAGAGAAGGGTGGGGTTGGATATGGGGTCGTGATTGAGACGCCAGTGGGGACAGAGGGTGTAGTGAGACTTCCAGTAGATGGGTTGGGTGGGAATGCGACAGTTGTAGTTGATGGCAGAGTGCTTGGCAAGGAGCAGTATCGGGAAGAAGATGGACGTGTGGTGTTTGATCTTCTAGGAGGGGTCTACAACGTACGAGTTGGCATGTAGGGTTGTGTTTAGCAGGGCTAGGTGATGATTGAATTTATTCAGATGTCCCCCTCAATCCACTTCCAGCAACTCGTATCGTCCGCCATGCTTATCGAGCGCATCCTCCACCCTCTCCATGATAGCGAGGACCTTTTCCTCTTCCAGTCTCCTTCCGACAACTTGTACAGCTACGGGCAGACCGGCCATCTTCTCCGCATCGTATAGCTTGTACGCGCCTTGTGCGACCCCGTTCAATTTCTTGATGTTGAAGTCTGATGGCAAAGCGTCTTTGGCAGGATCGACGTGCGTTACGGGGATGATTCCAGAAGAGTAGTCGAGCTTCATATAGTTAGCGAGGGCACAGTAGTGTTGGAAAAAAAGAAGACTTACCAGATTGAACATGAAAGTGTAACCGCAGCTACTGACTGCATCATGCATGCCGCCATGAGGTACCGCAGGAGTCGCGTTGGGTGGAGTGAGCATGACATCCATGTTGGCCTCCTCAGACCACCATTGGTAGAAATTCTGCTTGTATGCCTCGCGCTTGCCAGCGAGCTGCCAGTACTCGTGTGCAGACTTTGGATGCCAGTCGCGTAGCAAGCCAGCCCAGATGTCGTCGCCTTTGACGTACTTGACGTACAGGTAGTGCGCGTACTTGATGAACTTGGGCAGGCGCATGTAGTAGACCAGTTGCGCTGCACCCAAATCGTTCCACTCTCCCGTGCGGAAATGGCCCATGAATGTGTTGCCGCCGTCGCTGAGAAGAAGTTGGGATGCTAGCTTGAGAGCTTCGTACGGCGAAGGGGGCTCGACATCGAAGACCTCGTGGCCTTCGGCCTTGAGTGCTTCGACTGTTTGGTCTAGAGCGCGCGCACATGCTGGTGAAGGGTCTGCGACGTGATCGGTTCGCATGACGCCTATGCGGAGCTTTGGCTTCTCCCGGAACTCGGTCTCGATATCCTCTCTCCATTCTAGCGGATGGACGGTATAGTCGTATTTCCAGGGCTTCATCTGGATGAAGCTTCGCGTGAAGTAGGTCAAGTCGTTCAATGTGCGCGCCATGGGGCTGAAGACGGAGGGTATAGCTTCCTGGCCCGACATGCTTGTGTTCATGCCGACTTTAGGCCATCGTCCCGTTGAGCATCGTATCGAATAGCAGCCGGAGAAGTGTGCGGGAGCGCGGACCGAGCCAGCCACGTCTGATCCAATGCCAATGCGACTACCACCAAAGGCCAGCAATGCCGACTCTCCACCTGTTGAGCCACCTGGCGAGTATTTGTCGTTGTGAGGGTTCTTGCACTGTCCCCAGACGTCGTTGGTGGATTCGAAGGACAGAAGCGTGGTAGGGAGGTTGGTCTTGACGAACGGCACGGCACCCGCGTCTTTCAGTATCTTGACCATGACTCCATCTTCTGTCGCAGGCTTCCCGGTGTTCCTCGAATATCCGACCGAGATGTCAAAGCCCTTGACTTGTATGGAGTCCTTCAATGAGACGGGGATGCCGGCAAGCGGACCCTTCAGATTGACCTCCTTCTCTGCCCATTCTTCGGCTTCCGGGAACAGTATCTCCGTCACGCAGTTTGTCTTCTCCTGCGCCTTTATCGCGACTTTGCCGTACGTGCGCAGGATATCGACGGGGCTGGTGATTTGCTTGTGGACATCTTGGACGAGCTCCTGGATGGGTTTGCCGAGGATGGAGCGGTCTTGCGAGGATAGAGCGGACAGGTACGGCGTGGGGAGTGTCGCGATCTTGGAGGCGCGTTCCGACTGCTTGCGCTTGCTGGTGGTGGAGAGTCAGCTTGTGGCATTGGCCGAGGTGTGGGGTGTTGGAAGCTTGGGGCAGCTCACCAGTCGGCCTTGTGTTGTCTGTACTCCGAGAGACCCATCTTGAGGTTGCAATTAGGAAGAAGATAAAATGACCATAGAAAAAAGCTTCAGAAGAAGCCGTAAGGCCCTCGGGAACGGTTATCAGTCACATGTCGCGTGAGAGCCGCGAGTATGCGTCTGGCTATCTGGGAGCTGTGTCGCCTGGACCTGCCGCATTCGAGCTGACCCGGGCTGGATGCGGGGAGCTCCTATCATCCTCCCTTTCCAACATCAGAGGAACAACCCCCATTTTCGGTGCTCGTACGCGACTTCTCGTGAAATCCTGACTATGAGATGGTCTTGATCGACTTGCACATATGCAGCATCGCGTAATTCGACCATGGGCACGGCGAGCGCTGCACTAAACCGTCCAACAGCTGTCCGGCACAACTCTTCAGCCCGGACGCCTCACTCCCAAAGTCTCCATTTCTTAACGCTCTTGACGCGGGTACCCATCTGAATCGCGTGTAAAGATAATTCAACCAATGCTTACGAGATACCACCAATCCGCCAGCAGAGCATTGACGCACATCGTCGCGTTGTCCTCTCATCAGCGTACGCGATTCTTCAGCAACGCCATCACCCAAGCACAGAACCATTCCTTCAAACAATGTTTCCACCTTCCTCGCATCTGATTGAGCCTCAACACTTTCCCAGCATAGCTCCCGCGCGCGAGGTAGGGCGGGAGGTCGATGTGGGACCGCGGAAGCTTGAACAACACCCGCAACAACACCTCTCACCCAGTCGATCTAGACGTCAAACTGTGGCTCCACATGCTTCAGGTACCGCGCAGATTCTACACACCTGAATGGCTTCCCCAGACTTGACGTTTAGGCTCGTCATGCTGTAAGCGCCTACGTGCATCAGTGCGGCAGCTCGGGCCATTTCATGACATCCCGCCGCTTCGCCCTCTCATTGGCTCCTCCAGCGACTACTCGAGATGCCATGAAACGACTGTGGTCCAGACACACCATGAGCAAGAATAGCAGCAATCTTGACTATGCCCTTTGCGATCTGTTGTTGAGATCGCAACCAACTCTTCGTTGTATAAGATGTGCTGGACGCAACGTCGTAGTAACTCATCACACACATCATCAACCAGCTCATCACAACTCACTTCCTTTTCGTCTTTTTTTCTCTGTTTCCTTATTTCCTTGTTTCCTATCTGGGTCTCATTCATTCTTCACTTTCTACGAAAATCACCCTCTCTTCTGCTGTGCAGACCGCTATCCATTCCTTGCTGCCTTAATCGCCTCGTCTGTCTACTTCGACGTCACATCCTCAGCCTCGTTCACTTTTGGACAACCAACTTCAATCCGCCAATATGCCTGTCCCCAGCTACAACGCCATGCCTTTGAGCAAGATGTTCCTTGGCGCCCGCGTCCTCCAGGCTATCTGCATGATCTTGGTCATTGGCATCTGCTCCAACTTCATCCAGATGATTGTCACAACCGGTGTTGAGCCACCCAAAGAGTTCGTCGGCACATTGAGCGTGGTATGTACTTCCCTCAACCACCACTGAACACTTCTAACATCACTAGACATGCATCGCTGCTCTCTACATCATGGTCAGCGTAGGCTACTACTGGTCGCAAGCCAACCTCGGCCTCCTCGTCATGACCGGTGTCGACTCTCTCCTTCTCATCGCCTTCATCGTTTGCGCAGTCACTCTCGGAAAGCCCATGTCGTTCCTTAACTGCTACGTCATCGGCAAGTCATCCGCAGAGATCGATGCTCAATACGCCAACGCCTTTGTCACTGCGACAGTTGAGAACCTCAACAAGTCCACTTCCAGCTTGGGCCACTGGGCCGGTGTCACACGCAGCAACTGCTTCCAGGCCAAGACCGTCTGGGGTATGGCTATCGCTCTCTGGTAAGTTTTCACACGACATAACATGCTTGATACATTACTAACACGACTCAGCGTACTCTTCACCGTCTCATGTGCTCTTCTCCCCACTCTCTGGTACAAGAACAACATGAAGAAGCCCGCCAAGACCGTCGAGGACGCCTAAACGCGAGGAACCCCGAATATCGAATGTGTCAAGCCAATGCGACGACTCAGCAAAAAAGGAATGTCCTGTCAAGAGCGCTCTCTGCCAGTCTTCCACCCCCTCTATCCACCTATACTCATGTCTTTCCTTATCTTTTCTGTCAAAACTATAAAAATAGTCTGCATTGCGAGGGAGTTTGGAGTTCTTATCTTGTTTCTGTCTTCTTCTTCAGACATTGAATGTCTATAATCCTAATGGATAGTTTTGGGCCTAGGCGCCTGTATCAAATCAATTACATTGACTTTATGTATCACATGCGATCCTTTCCAGTCATTCCTCGAGCTGTGACTTCGATCACCGGCTGCCTGCTCGGTTACTCATCGCTGTCGTCATGTAGCACCCATTTCTTTGTTCGATTTACGCACTGTTGCTAATGTCCTACATCGCTGCCGTCCGCACGCTCCACCTTTTGGCAGTGCTTGATCATGTGGTTCCAAGACGCAGGGACTACTCTGTAGGTGTGACAGCGCTGCTTGGTAACATCTACTGTGTAAACGCTACCTTGCGGTAACTAGCACCTCCGCTTAATGCCCACAACCCTGCAATCGACTTACCCAGCGATGCGAGGCCCGTGGAAAGCTCGAGCAAGAGAAAGCCAGCTCGAACTCCAGGCCAGTGCTTCGATGTAGCACTTGGCTCATCGATATCTCCAGCTGTTATGATGGACTCAGACATGACAGGCAACGCTCTACGGAGTCATTCGTACACATCATCGCTTCCGCAAGTATAAAAGCTATAAGTTGAGCGCTCTTTCCTTCTTCTCATACCCACAGGCTACCATATCCTTAAAGTTAAACCAGTATACTTTACCCTCACACACGCGTTCGAAGACAAGAACAAATTGCGCACGAACGACCAATCGGCAGACCCCAGCTTCACGTCAAGAGCAAGATCCACGGTGTGAAAAACATTCCGCAATGTGTATCGGTAACTACAAATCCTGCCGTAATGGCTGGCCGGAGTCTGGAAGCGATCGAAAGCTTTGCTTCAAGCCAACCAAACCCCTTCTGTTTGTCCCGACGATGCCATGTTATGAGTCGAAGAAAAGATACGACAAGCAAAATCCCGCATTCGTTCCAGATGACTGGCCGCATGAGCGTT